TAAAATGTCAGTTGAGGTCAAGGATAAAAACATATACATTGCTTCAGGAAGAAATTATTAATAAAATGTATAATGCAAAGAAGCAAAACACAGCACTTTTGGACTGCACATCTGGATTTCTCATGAAGAGCAACTGTGACAGATGGCTGTGTCTGGACAGCTGATTTATAATTACATCTTCCATTTCTGAAAGGCTATAACCTTTGGGGGCCCAATCTTGCAATGTGCTGAATATTATTTTGAGAGTTACTTATCGTCCTCCCTGATCCTGAGTCCTGAATGAATATCCAGTATTTCTGTCTTGGGCCTGACAGCTCCCACTTCGATGTGGTTTTTGCAAAAGCCTAGATATGCTTTGATAGGTGTACTTTGCAAAAGCCCTTTGTGGAGTTGCTGAGAGAGAGAGTGATGAGTAATTCACTAAAGGAGTTTGGTCTGGCCTGAGGGAATGTCCCCAATTTTGAAATTGGACTTAAATGTCACAAATAAGAAAGAAATATGATCTATTCTAATAAAGTACTCCAGTGACTGTGACTGAAAGTCATGTCAGATTGGGTCAGTGAATGAGGCTGTGGTCTGTAAGGGCATGTCTACACAGCAACTAGACACTCGCAGCTGGCCCATGCCAGCCAACTCAGGCTCACAGGGCTCTGGCTGCGCAGCTGTTCCATTGCTGTGTAGACTTCCAGGCTTGGGCTGGAGCCTGAGTTATGGGACCCTTCCACCCTGCAGGGTCCTAGAACTTGGGCTGGAGCCCAAGCTCAGAAGTCTACACAGCAAAGGAACAGCCCTGCAGCCTGAATCCCGTGAGCCTGAGTCAGCTGGCACGGGCCAGCCGTGGGTGTCTAGTTGCTGTGTAGACATACCCTGAAACCCACACAAGATTTGCTATAAACACTGAAAGGAGAGTGAGGCAGAGAACTGCAGAAATAGGAAGAGTGGTCTTGTGGATAAAGCACTAGATGGGGGCCCACAAGAACTCTATTCTATCCCTGGCACTCCTACATGTTGAGCAGTACTTAGGCCTGTTCTAGGCACAGTTTTTGTATTGATTTAACAATTTTGTTTTAGGGATGTGGTTTTTGTTCCAAAATATTTAACTATGCACAACCCTTAGTGTGATGCAGTTATACCAGCAGAGAGGTCCCTTAGCAGTATTTCTCTTCCCTTACAGCACTAAGCTATACACACCTTTATATTGGCATAACTGTGTTCACACAGGGGAGCTGTGCCACTTTAACTATATCAGTATAGTTAAAGCTGTAAACAAAAAAATTCTGTATAGACAAGCCTGTGGCCCAGATTTTTCACTTCAGTGGGCAAGTGCCTTAGGCCTGAACCATTGTCCGCAGTAGGACTACTCACATCCATAGAGCTAAGCACGTTTCAGTGTTTACTGAAGGTGGACCTTGGATCAAAATTTTTGGAACTGGCCACTAATTGTATGTTCCTCATTTTCTGGATACCAGGGTCTGCTGTTGAGAAGTGCTGAATTGACAGCTCCAAAGCAAGACCATTGGAACTGCAGGTATTCAACATTTTTGTAAAATTAGGCCTTACGTGTCAAGCTGGGATCCCCAATAACTGAGTCAACCAAAATTAGTGAACACTGCTGCAAATCTTAATCTCTCAGTGCCTCAATTCTCCAACTGTAAAATGCTTTGCGGTCTCACAGGGGAAATTGTGAAGATAAATTGTTTAATGTTTGCGAGGCAGTCAGATACTCCAGCAATGAGCATCATAACAAAGCTCAGGAGGAAATAATTCCATATTCAGTGCAGTATTTGGTGTTGAACATGGGAACAGCATGTCAGGTATGGGGCCACACACTGGATGATATGGAAATAAGAAATACTGAACATCTGCCTTATTCACTGTGACCCATCAACCTGTGGGCTGAATGTGGCAGCAGTCTTATGGAAAAATATCTGATGATGTAATTATGCATAAGCACCAGGGTGTAGAATTAACATTGCATAAACTATTTCAATTCTTTCATTTTCTAACTTTTCAGTGCTTGACTATTCAACCTTATAAAGTGTTCTTTTAATGTAGGTTTTGTTGTTTGGTGGGGTGGAGTGTTGGGTATGGTATATGCTGGCCAAATTCTCTGCTAGTATAAATTGGCACAGGTCCATTGGCTCCAATTTACACCAGCAAAGAATTTGACCAATGTTTGTAAGGTTTTTTTAATTAAAAAAAGTTGTGAGCAAAAACATCTCTATTACATGATTGTTAGCAAACAGGAAACATTTCCTTTAAAAATGCACATTTATACATTGTTAAAATCATTCCACACAATAGCATTTAGTATTTGGAACCATGGTTCAAAAAGAATCAGTGTATAGTAAGAAAGAATGACTGTTTTTCAAGACAGAATCATTGTGGTTATTGTCAGATTCCTTTCATATCAGAGAAGTTATTTGTATATGGGGAACCAAAAAGCATCATTGTGCTATCACAGGAAAGGGAGGTTAGACACCAGAATTCTTGCCTCATACTTCAACAGGCCCTGTTTATGTGGGCAAGAGTCTTGTTCTTCAAATATTAAAGACACTAACACTTTAAGTGCTTCCGTTTTCCCCCAAGGACTCCTGATTTATTGCTTCTTGGGTTCGATATAAAGGCATAACCATCGAACGCAGAATTGTCTTATTGTTTGCTCTGTTTGTTTTTTTGACAGTCAGAACATTAGTGATTGAGATACAATCAACGGGCCAGATTCCATAGTCCCACTGATTTGCAAAAAGTTCCTGCCACCTGTAACATGTTTTGGCTGTCTTGGTGAAAAGCTGCAGTATCAGTCATGCACAGCTACTCTTAAGCTAATTTTTTAAAAAGGAGGAAGAACAGCTCATGAGAACTTCCTGCAACTTGCCACATGCAGATTAGGAGAGTGCTGTTGTTTCTTCTAATACATTATACCACTTTGTAGTCATAGTACTACGAACACTTTCATTTCTGAACTGAGAAAATGTGCAGATCAAATGCCCTGTCCCTCTCCCTCCCTTACACTGATCTCATTGTGCCCATCTGGCTCTTATGTTCGGGGAAGAGTTTTGTTTCAGTAGTGTAATCAGAATCCCTCCACCTAATCCTCATGTATTATTTTGCTGTTTCCAATATAATGGATAATAAATATTCAATTATCTAACTCAAAATCTAAGTTTTGTCTTTTTTTTTGTAATTTATTTCCTGTATTGTATGGTTAATGAGGGACGTGTGAACTGGCTTTGCCTATTTTTTAATTCACACAGACTTCATGGGTTCAGCAGATGGACTTGAATTAAAATGTCCTTTTCTGAGTTTACACCCTGGCTGTGAGTGATGAGAGGAACAGAGCAGAGGGGAAGAGAGAAATCCAAAGGAGAAAATGAGGTGCAGCGGGGGGCAGAAGGGGAGAGCAGAGCAAAAACACAAATACAGGGTGACTATGAAAAAAGGAGTAGAAAAGACGAGAGATGTGAATTAAAAAATAACTGTATGGAGCTATATCATCCCCTTCAGAGAAACTCCCCGGGAAGAGGAGTTAGGAAACACCATGAAACTGGCTATACATAGTGACCAGGCCATTGCCCCTTAATATAAAAATGGTTTGAGGGGTTGCAGAACGGACAAGGAAGCCATAGTCTTGTGTGGGAAGAAAGGTCTGCTTGGAGCTGTGGACACTTTCTGCAGAGCTGGGGCCACCAAACCCAGCTGACAGCATTGCTGCCTATGTATTCATTTTGAATTGACTCATCTCTGACGTTTGAACCGTCAGTTCAAATCTGGCTGCAAATGTAGGCTTTCTGTAAACAAACTTGTATGGAATCTGAGACAAAGAGAAATGCTTTGCTCTTCTCTTTTATAATACTCCAGTGGCTGGAGGTGGTTTTTAAACACATGAATATTCCCCTCCAGTGTCTGCAGCCAAATATTGCAGCATTGAGCTAGGACATGACAACCTGAAAGTGAAATTGACTAGAAATCAGTGGTGAGCTGGAGCCGGTTCACACGAACCGGTTGTTAAATTTTGAAGCTGGTTTAGAACCAGTTGTTAAAGGGGTGGGCAAACTGTGGCCCGTGGGCCACATGCGGCCCACAGGACCGTCCTTTCCGTCCCGCCTGAGCTCTCAGCTGGGGAAGCTCCCCTGAGAATTTTTATTCCCCCAGCAGCACTCTGGGCCTTCGGTGGCACTTCAGCGGCGGGCCCTTCACTTGCTCCGGGCCTTCGGCGGCGGGTCCTTCAGTGGCGCCGAAGACCTGGAGCGACTGAAGGACGTGCTGCCAAAGACCTGGAGCGACTGAAGGAACCGGTTCTTCAGCTTGTGGCAGCTCATCACTGCTAGAAATGGCTATAAAAGTAGCCAGTTTTATTGCCTATGGTGAATGGAAATGGGTCAGCAGCATAAATGATGAAAAAAATTACATTTTAATTTGTATTGTGTTTTTCTAACTAAGGTGCTATGAGCTTCACGTTGGCAGCCCCCCCGGCTTTCATTCTGTGCCCCAGCAGTCTGTCCATCCAGAGCTCATTGCAGAATTAGGGCCTGAATCTTCATTTTTTATTTGGTCTTTATGCAGACAAACTCTTATTGTAGTAAACCCTAAGCTTCCTTGCCTAAGACTAGCACTGTAGAGTGGTAAAATGGAAAGTTTTTTTTAATTGTAAAAATATAACCAACTTGTCATTTATGCCACTTGTTCAACATTAGTTAGGGTTTGCCTATGTGAGATGTTCAAGGTTCTAATATGATTTTATGAAAGATTTTTTAAAAAAATTATAGGAACAAAGTGTTGTGGACATAAACTAATTTTTGCAAACAAACAAAAAATAGTTTTTGGTAGGATCACAGAGGTTTGATAGGTTCACAGAGCCTCAAATTGCACAAACCTTATCGATCTACATTTAAAACAAGAACAATGTAGTGATGCAATCATAACATTACAAATGAGACAGGACAGCTTTAAGAGAGAAACAGGAAGTTGTAACTAGAATCCAGCTGAATTCTGAGCTGGGGGAGTTTGCCGTGAGGCTGCAAATAAAGCAGATGTGTTGTGAATTTCAGTAGTGTCTAGACTTTCCTTTACCAAAGTTGATGATATAGCATTTAACCTGTGGTGTTTTCTTTATTTTGCATTTTGTTCCCCTTCATCCTTTTTTTTTTTTAAGTACTCACATAAGGGGAATGAAATGGAAAAATTAAGGAAATATATGTCAGCGAGAGATGAGGATCAGTTTTATCATCAGGGAGCTGTGGAGTTGCTAGTCTTTAACTTTTTGCTCATCCTCACAATATTAACAATTTGGTTATTTAAAAATCATCGATTCCGCTTTTTGCATGAAACTGGAGGAGCCATGGTTTATGGTGAGTACAAATTTAAGTGCCAGTTTAGTATTAAACTTGTTGCATGTGTATAATTAGACACTTGAGTTCAAGTGCTGACAAGGCACAGAAAATGTACTGAATGAAATGCCACTAGCCTATTGAAATGTGCAGTAAAAAATTTAACACTTCAACTCTCACGAAACAGACATAAGTTGACCTGTCAATGGAGTAAATGTCATGAATAGGTTATCGTAGCACTGTACAGATAACGTACTTCCATGGGCTGATCTGAATCTAAAAACCCTTTGGGAATATAGGAGGCCTGTTTCATAAGAATAAAATACCAGGTTGAAAGAGATTATTTCATATGAATCTAATGCATACTTGTTTGCGATATCCCATGATGGTGTGACACTAAGTCACAGCAGGAATCTATTAGGATCTCATGGGTTCAGCCCTGTGGTCTGATGCAATTTCAACTAGCTGAAGATTTTTGTTTTGTTTTTCATTGTGTTGTAGAAAAGCAGATTTTGAAAAGTCACTCTCTGATCCTCCCTGAATGTTTCCATTATATCTGTACTTCAGTTTGCCTCTCTTGTTCTAATCTTCCTTGATGTAATTTTCCAATATTTTATTTAACTTGTGCATAGGACCTTCTGCGTAGCCTGCTGCGATGAAGGTCTCTGTCAGTTTAATTATTATATGGAGGGAATGGTGGGGCTATTTCCCCAGTCCTTCCTTTCTCTCTTGTTTCACTTTCAGAAAAGTTGTGTAATCTCCATTTCGCTTTCCACAAAATGTGCCCTGATGACACTGTCAAGGCTGGAAAAAGGGATACAAATTATCACTTTATATATTGTGCATCCTAGCCACAAACCACCTGTGACTCTGACTTTCCTATGTATGTCATGATGCTGCCCCATTCATTATGAAATTCACATGCTCTAAGGTTGCATATTCTAAAAGTACTTGAGCCTGTTTTTCTGTCAGCTGCATGCAGTGTTTCCATTGAAGTCATTGACATTGCATGCATGGAACTTGGGATAATCAGGCCCATGATTTTAAGACCATTGGAGCTTTTAATTTGAAAGTCAGTAGATGTTTCCTCCTAAGTGGTATCTTTTAAAGGAAGAAGGTTAGAGTTTATCGAAGGGTTAGAGCTGAAGTCTATCAGTCTTAACATTGTCCCTTTAAAACTCTTAATTACACAAAAGAACTCTGAAAAGTCATAGGAACACAGGATTTACCCTTCTGTACCAGATACTTGACCTGTTAGGTCACTTTCTGCCTCTAGCAGTGACCTGATGCTTCAGAGGAAAGTAAAAAAACAAATAAAATCTTGTATCAAGCATTCATGCTATTCTAAATAGGTGGTGGGGAAGTGTGAGTGTTCCTTTCCTTTATACCTGTCCCTGCCTCTGTTTTGAAAGATTATGTTCTATAATAGTAACTCTGTAGGGCTTACTGGCAAATAACTAGAGTGGTGGAAAAAGAACTTATATGACAGTCCACCCGATTTTATTTTATCTCTAACTTCTCAGGTCTTATGTCACATGTGCATAATATACTGCTAGTAAATCAATTGAGATTAAAAAACAATACTTGGTAGAAGGTAACAGTTCACCACAATTAACAATGGCATTGATGTGCACAGTTTAGATAGTTCTACTAAAATAGTTTTTATACTCTACAAACCACCTCTAATTGCAGATGATTATATACATTTGCCTGTTATTTTTTGCTATTAATCTCTGCATGTGGAGAAATCAGTAAAAATACTATGCAATATTTTCACTATGGACAACCTGTAAAATATAACATTTTTCTAGGATTTACACACAAGATCCTTCCTCTTAGAATCCCTTGCTTCTTCTGTGTGATGTCCTGTGTACAACTGATCATGTTACATGCAGTGTTAGACGCAAACCAAAACCGCAGATTCAGACACCCCATACCTTTGCCTAGGTTTTGGCCTGGATCTGTACTTAGTGGCTTGGGTTCTCCATCTCTGGTTCATTTTGAATGTACCTTATCAAAACTGATATAAAAGCAAAAAGAGGGTGGGGAATGCAATTCAACTTCAAAAAAAAAAGTCAGTTCCCTATTTTAGGGTTTTATACTGCTGCCCATCACTGTTGTTTCTAACATTTAATTTCAATAACATTTTCAACTCCTACAATGTGGAATATTTGTCATTGCCTTGCACCTTGTGTAGCCATGAATACCGTTAAGCAGAGTATCCCTTTTAGAGTTCATTAAATTCACTTGCCAGTTGAGATCCGTGCTGAGGCCTGAGTGAAGCTCTGCATTAAGAAATTCCTGAACAAAGGATACTGAGTCCATTTAGTCTTCTATTATTTATGACAGACGTCAGACAAAGAGAAATACCCATTCATGTGCATTACAAGCTTAAGCCATAGTCCTTCCTGTACCTAGCAATATTGGGTGTGGCTTTAGGTATTCTTAGCAGTGTGAAACAGGAGTGGTTAAAGGAAACTGGCAAAATTCAGTTGTAAACAATTGCAACAGATCAATACCAGCAACTTCAGAGGAAAATCACCTGTAGGAATCTCTATAGAACCATGTGCTTGTACTGGGCCAAATTCTGTTCTCACTTACACGGCAGTCAAGCTTGAGTAGCACCATGAGAACTGGTTCTCCATTGCCTTGCAACTTGTGTAGCCATTTATACCAGATTTTACAATCCAATCAGTAGCATTTTACACCCAGTTTGCACAGGCGTAATGCCTTAATTCCACAGTTCATTGTATGGAGGCACAGATGTCTGCTGTTTGGATCCATTTTCAGGATCTACATGAAGTCTGCAAGGCTATGGAGAATCAGGCCTATTTACTTATGAGTGAGTAGTATTTGACCAGCTGTTTGCCGACTGTTGCACGGAATGGTGTCTGGGTCTGAAACAGTTGGCAATGCAGTGTATGACCATTATTTATGGGTGTGCCATTGCAGAAGATGGTCAAAGAGAAAGATGAGGAAAACTAGTAGAAAGGTGTGACAGATTTAGGGCCTGATCCTGTGAGGAGATGAGCACCCACAACTCAGGCCACTAAGCCCCATGGGCAGAAGAATGCAGATTCATTCATTGGTTTGCCTTCCAATCTCCCACTGAATTTGGGTCTCTGATTCTTGTAGCTAGGTTCAACAGTAGCATTCTTGGTAATGCTCTGGGGTGGGCCAGTGCCAAAGCAGGCAGTTGAATGAGGTGTGAAGAAGCAGCTGAGTGTCAGCATGGACAGTAGGAAATGTTGGCTTTTTCACTTCTTACCATTTTATTCTAACAATAGTACTTACATTACATGGCCCTTCCTTGGAGGAATCTGAAAGGTACTTTTTAGTGCCCAGCAGCAAATGCCTTGGGCCTGGCTTTTAGAAGTGCTGCGAACCCACAGCTCCAATTGAAATCAGTGGTTTGAAAATCAGACTCATACTGAGCACCCAAATCAGTGGTCACTTCTGAAAATGATGACCTTGACAGTAGGTTTGCATCTATACTACAGGGGTATGCAAGCATAGGTGTGACACCATAGCTATGTCAGTATAGTCACACAGTGTAAACATACTCTCAGGTAGGGAGGGCCCAAAGCCGTTAGAACTTTATTGTTGAAAATCAACACCAAACTCCAGTTACAAATAAACTGAGGCACAGAGGGCCTTTGCCAGATTTATGCTGGTGTAACTCTGTTGTAATCAACGGAGTTTTATTGGTGTAAAACTAGAATAATGCAGCAGAGAATCAAGTGCAAAGAACTTAAATGACTTACCTAGTGTCACATGGCAAGTCAATAGTAGAGCCAGGAATACAGATCGGAAGACCTCTTACAGCCACTGTCCTAAGACACTAAACTGTAACTGCTTTATTCAGGGAACTATTTACTGGAATTACAAAAATGGTGATGTGAGCTTGATCCTTCAAGGTTCTGAATGTGTGCTGAGTACTGACCAATTCCTTCAAAGGGACTGTGGGAGGTCAGAACCTAATAGGATTAGGTACTAGAAATGGGAATCCATAGTTTGGGATAATATGACAAAGATCACAATTTTCCCTTTTTCAATTCATGTATGAATAATGAAGAGAGATCTTCGAGGTATAATTTAGAGCCTGGAAAAAGGCGTGATCAAGGCAGATTGCAATAATATAGTACAAGTGTTTGAGAAACATCCATAGCCAGAATGGATTTTGTAGTTGGAATATAAAAGAGACATAATGTTTTTAAATCAAATGTGAAGGAATTCAGGTCTGCTCTAAAATAATTCTTGAATAGTCAGGAGAATTAAGCAATGGACTGAACTGCTTAGTTTCTGAGTCACCTTCATTTAGAGGTGTTCAGAAATAGCTAGATAAAATCCTAGAGGGAGGAATATCCTTTTTGATACGAGAGTGTGGCCTTGATGACCTCAAAGGTCTTTTCCAATACTATTATCTATGATTAAGGGTTTGATCCTGCTTCCACTGAAGTCATTGGCAAAATTCCTATTGAGTTCAATGAAATCAGGTTTGGGATCTAGTTGGGGTGCTTCTGGGAGAAGAGTAACAAATGGTAATGCGATTTAAAAAAAAAAAAACTGTCACTTTAAAGTGTCTTTTTTCTGATTCAATCCAGCATCAGAAGTCACTTTTAAAAAGGAATTATCTGAACATCAGTACTAGTCACTGCAGGGAAACGTCTCGGGTAAAGGGAACCTGGGAGGGGAAGAGATGTTCTAATTGAATTCTGACTTCTATTGTGTTAGGGATTGATTCCTATTCAGTGTGGCATGCTCTCACCTTGCATGATGAGACCCTGTATTAATGACTAAACTCCATGTTCAACTGATGTTATCATAGCTGAAGCTGTCTTACCTCTGCTCACAGCATAGCAACCTGTAATAGGGCTACCTGTTTTCTTATTATGTGAATTAATCCTTTCCTGATTTGTTCTCATGCAATTTGTTATTTTTAACAGCGTCACTGCTGGCCTTCCATTCTAAAATCTGGGTTTGTGCATTTGGTTCCCATTCTATTGAAATGAATGGAACAT